ATAGGTATTTAATAGAATAAGAATTTGACCGTAAGAATTTGACCAATTATAGTCGATTTATAGAAGAATAATCGATTGATCTTAAGCCTTAAAATCTCATTGTAGATGCTGAGGATTACATACAATTTTGCTAGTATATACAGTTGAATTATACATATATAGTCCATTCAGCTACGAAACAAAACGAATAACTACCAATCAAAAGTCACGCTGCCGTTGTCGTTTTTCCATTTGTATAGGGCTTTAGAATTGTTCATGTGACATTTGTGTTTTTTATTTACTATCGCTAGATGGCAGTATCAATAGATGATTATAATTCCTCTGTCGGTTTAATTTTGCACTACTCAGTATTGCAATTGGCAACGAATCAAGCACGAGTGAGAGAAGTGATCAAAAAATGGCATCCGCGCCGACGTCGCACAATGAGGTTTCCCAGGAATTTTCTGTCAACAAACTCATTCGTGTCGGTTATTACGAGCTCGAAAAGACTATTGGAAAAGGAAATTTCGCCGTAGTTAAAATGGCCACTCACGTCGTAACGAAATCTAAGGTAAAAGACACCGCAGAAGCCTTTCAGTTACAATCATGAAATCCGTCATTTTGTCGTTAATACTCGTGAATATCTGTGCGAATATTTAGTTTTATGTTTTTAATATTTAATTACGATGTATAATTGCGTTAACGTAATTATACTTGATATAGTTATATTTGAGTAATTGATATTGTTAAAAAATATATTTATTATTGTTGAGAGAAAGATCATTAGGCTGCTGCATTTGAGATAAGTCATGTAAATTTCATAAATCTTATTAATATTTGCACAGCAGACGGTTCAACAAATACACAATAGCAGGAGCATACTTAATTTCTTTAATTTTAATATTAATTTGTATTTAAATAATTTCTAAATATCTAAAACTGAACTCTATTATTAAAATATATTATCAACGAGAAAAAAGAAAAATTAGTGTCTAAATATGTGCATGCGTCTTGCGCGTGAATATGTGT